CAGTTTGCTGGTGACCTTGCTTTGATTCTGCCAGAGTCTGGTGGAGACCTCCAGCACATTTAATTTCAGTTTTTCTCCCTCCAAGAGAAGCTCTGCAACAGTTTAAGATTTTGTTCTGAGGAGAACAAGAATCAGGCTGAAGACATGCAACTGGAAATGTATTTTCTTCTGGATAAACTTAATGAGAACAAAGAACAAATAACTAATGTCCTTATACTGGGGGTGGACCTCCCCATGATGCTGGGTCCTGGTCGCTGGGAATAGAAAAAGTGAGTGCCATGCATGGCCCCTGTGGAGATGCTCATGCAGTAAAGGCTATGCCTGGCCCCGAAGGGTCAGGGTCCCCTGTCACGGACGGACTGTGTGAGCTGTGGCTCAGGTGTCTAGCTAAGGCAACAGGGACAACAGCCTTTTCCTTCATCTGCCTTATCTCCTGATATCACAAGCCCCAGTGGAAGAGCTGATCCTTTGGCACTGCTGTATCACACATTGCACAAGAATTAGGGAGAGAAGGAAGATCTGAATGTTAAAGTAGTAGAGATAATAATGCCCAGCTAGTTGCAGGCTGATCCTAGACAGTGGGGCATAGTGCCCTTACTGGGTAATGAGCACATTTTCTGGGCTGTTTCAAGGAAAACCTCAGCCAAGGAGCTGCTGACTAACAGTGCTCATGCATGGTTCCTGTGGAGGGAGCTGGCTCTTCTGTTCTCTGTTTTCCACCCCAAAAAAAGCATATGAACAAATGGAGCCTTGCAGCAGCCTCAAGGCTCTGGGGCATGATTATCTCTCTGGTTTCATGGAGAAGGAGAACAAAGAGTTTGGCATCTGAAAGTGGGGCACAGATTTCCTCTTTGGATTGGCTGTGCTGCAGCAGTAAAGTGATGTGCTCTGTGTAGTGAGGCTCTGGTCTTTCTTGGAGCTGAATACGTGTGCCAGAGTGGCGCTGGGCAGCTTTACAGGTGCCACATTTTGAATGAGCTCTTGGTGACTTGATGCAGCACTCAGTAGCTGCTGCGACCCTACCCAGAATGAGCAGAGGGAATGTCTGCATTTTGTCTCCTCCTTCTCCAATCTATCTTCCCTTTTGTGCTTTCAGCTGAATGCTGTAGCAGACATTTTTGAGGCAGTGCAGGTTTTTACCTGCTCGTTATTCCAAGGTGCTGGGCAGTGTGGAGCAGGCTGGACTCATCTGTGCCATGTGGATGGGGAATGTCCCCAGCTGCAAGCTTCCTGGCCTCAGGGTACACCAGTGGACAGTCCTTTGCTCCTCTGCCACGCAAGGTGAGGAGAGATCACTCCTCTGCCATGCTGGACACTTCAAGGCATACTCTGGATCATTCTCATGCTTGTTTCCGCTCTTTCTTTGTCAATTATTTTTTTCTTTATTCACTTTTTTCCATTATTAAATTGTGGCAACAAAGTCCAAGGTGACTTTCTTAGGTGAATGTCATCACTTTTCATTGCAAGACCAATTTTGCCCAATTTGCTCTGTTCAATGACTTCACACCAAAAAAAGAAAAAACATAAAAAACCACCAAAAACATATCAAGCCCAATACAGCAAATAGCCACTGACATTACTTACGATGTATCTGGAGGCACATCAAATCCAGCTCTACGGGTATGAAGTTACTATTTCCCCCCCTCACGCACTGCACAGCCATGCCTTTTGCAGAGTACTTGTGACTCCTGTCAAGATGGGGAAATCTACTGCTGTGAAGGCCACAGCCTCACAGAGGATATTGCTGCGGTTCAGAGTCTGAGCTAAAATCTTGGCTCAGAGGCACAGTTTTGGTAAGGTAGTGGCCGACAGGAGCAGTAACTCACGCTGCATCCGCTGAGCTGTGACACTGCAGCCTCTGGGGAAAAAGTGCCAGCAGGGATGCCAGCCCACACTGTGGTGGCAGTGCCTGGACCCCACGCTGGGCTGTAATGAAAAGGAACGGGAGATATGAGGCAAGTGAGAAATTCCAGCTGAAATAGTTCTCTGTGCTCATTTTTAGGCACTTCTGCGTCAGCTATGTTCTTGTTGAAGTCACTGGAAGGTTTAGTCTCCCTGGAGTGGGATTGTCTCTTAGCAAGGAGCAAGGCAGGCAGAGGAGGCCAATTAATGTTATTGGATTGTGAGTACAAAAATGTGGAGAAATACATGCAAAACATCAGCTTCTGTCCTAGAGGAGGAACAGTGAGTTGGGTTTTTTTTTGCTCAGCAGAACTAATGATACCTGCTTTTAACTTCATAATGTCCTTTGTCCTTCCACCTCTCATGACAGGTCCCTTATGGCAGTGCTTACTGTCTTTCTAGTCCCCCACACTAGCCCCCCCATCCTCAGTGTTCCTGCCTGTCTGCCACATCTCCAGGCTGCCCTCCTAGGAGATGCCTCCCTCCTCCCTGGTCCCCTGCACACAGGCTGGCTGGAGCATGGTGCATGATGAGGAACTCCTGGGGTCACCCTACAGCCCTTCCTCGGGAGAAGCACTAACCTGAGTCTCTTCCCTCTCTCCATTCCCTATTTCTTGAGGAACTTGATGTTTTTGAGGGCTGTGCTCCTTTTTTCAGCTATGGGTGAAACATAGCAGTGAGCTCAAAAAGTAACTGGGGTTGGGAACAGACAGATGGGTCTTTGTGCAAGAAATCTGGGCTAAAAATGTCCATGTTTCTTCAGGCAGGACAAAAGAATTACATAGCAAAACTGTATAAACTACTAGTATAATGAAGCTGGCATCCCAGCGTGCCAGCTTGCACTATGTAAGAAAAGGAAAACAATTCTGAATTTAATTAGCACATTTAAACTGGGCAGAAATAGGCCTTTAATCTTTCTACCATGGTAATTTCACTGAGGAGGATGGAGACAGGGATGCCTTTAAGCCACTTATCTGTCTTTCCCAATCTCAGAGGTGGCGGGGGCTCAGGGAGCTGCCTGCAGCTTGGCTTGGAGGCTGCTACAAGGGGAACAGGATGTGGCCTGGCCTTGATCCTCATGCTGCTGCAGTTACTCAGGATGGATCTAGACAGTCTGTGGGAGCCTAGAAAGAGCCCTCACAGCTCTCTGCTCCCCGGGCAAGCTTCTCAAGTGCTAAGATGAGCTTTAAAGAAGAGTGCTAAAACAGCTCAGAGGATGCATCGTTTGCATTGTTCAAAAAAGGCACAAACCCCCTGCTTTCCTTGGAGGCAACATGAGGCAGCCCCAGCCACTGAGGTGAGAGCAGCGGTGGTGGGTGAAGCAGTCTGTGGCTGGGAGCAGGATCTGACCCTGCTTCCCCCTGGAAGAGGAACCAGAAGAGATTCAAGCAGGCATCCAGAGCCAGAGAGAGCACTGCAACTGCTGACCAAATGCGTCCTCTGTGTGTAATGCAAAAATCGAGGTGCCACTTGGCAAAGTGACCATGCAGTAGGCTGCAGCCAGGTCCAGCAGCTCAGCAGTTCTTCACCTGCTTTTTTCAGGGCCGTGAGGGACTGTCACAGCCCTCCCAGGATCGCAGCTGTGGGCTGTGAGATGTGTTCTGGCCTCATGGGGACATGCTGTTTGTTTAATGGTTTACAAAACACCAACTTATGCCCCCCCTTGCCCCCTCACCTCATCTGGATGCTCATCTGGATAGGGATGTGGTGTGGTACCAACCTCACCTGCCACATCATCGGGAGTGATGTAACTCACCCAGGGCTGCTGGTGGAGGAAGGAGGTTGGGCAACAGCTGCATGTCAGACCTGGTCATCAACAACCCAAATCTCATGCAGAAGGGTGGAAAAGCTGGGTGGACGTGAAGGCCACCCAGCAGCTCCATTACCCAAGTGAGTTGATTTACTTTCTTATCGCATCCTCTGTGAGTGCTGATTTCTCCTCTGATCAAGCAATCACTTCTCTTCAGGTGAAGGGAGGTGAAAGGTTGGGTGTCTGCAGTGGCTGCCACTTGGGCAGCATGTGGAGAGGGCTATGAAACATGAGATAGCTCTGAGAAGGTTCCATGTGTGTCCAGCACCCCAACAGCATCCTCAGGCTCCCACGGGGAGCTCTTCCCCAGACCCTCCAGCTGTCATGGATGAGGAAAGCTCAAGCATATGCTGCACTGCAGCAAGCAGAAAATCAGCTGAGCATCTGCTGTGCCCTGATCAGCTGGTCACAGCTTTAAACAAGATGCAAGAGCCTTGGGGTTACTTGGCTGTCATTAAAATGGTGTGGATGGAAGGAAAAGTCTAATTGACTGAACAACAGCCTGTGCCATGTAATTAAACTAATTGTGCCTCTACCTGCATGGGTCAGAAGTGATTCGTGTGGTTGTTAAAACACTGACAAATAGGAGGTGGGGAGGTGTGAAAGTATTTCTCGCACACGTTTGCATGGGTAATTTTGCTGTTTCATTTTGGGCAGTTTTATACCCTTGAAATGTTTGGTTTCTTTCAAATTTGAGGAGACTGTTAATATTTCACACTGAAGCAGGGGAAAGCAAAAAGGTCACCATTGTTAGCAGTTTCAGGCAGCAGCGTTTCAAGTGGAGGTAATACTCTTTCAGGGCTATTTTCTTATTTGAAGTGAAATTCCTCAAAACAGGAGGGGAAGGACTGTTTACCAGAATGTGTTTCAGCCTGGCTCTGCACCTGCTGGGGACCATGCAACTGTTTTTATTGGCTTACGCAGCAGAAGACCAAGCTTTCTGCACAACTCGGTGAAACTCAGGTCACTACTTTACTGCTCGGGATTTATGACCATAGCTTTTAGTGATTGTTTTGAAAATCTTGGCTTCAGAATATGATGTGTTTAAAAGAAGCCAAATGAGAAACCTGCTATAGTGTCATCTTTAAACTCTTTGACCTTGTTTTCAGGTCCTTGCAAAGCAGAGCCCACCTCCAGCTTGTGGCTCTGCTCTTATTGATTATCATTTTGAGTCCTTCAGGCGTTTTGCTGTGCCCAAAACACCGTGTGCTTTTCAGAATGAATAATGTGACATGACAGAGAGCTGCTGAACCACCTCTGCTCTCTCTAGGCTGTTAGCACAGGGCAGAGCCCTGCAGTTGTGCTGGAGGAGACCCATGTGGAGGGGCTGGTACATTTTGTCCCAGTAGGACCACTTGTCCAGCATGTGAGCTGATGTCTAAACATAGGAGTCAAACACTTAGCCTGGAGCAACTGATGCCTATATTTTTCCTGGTCAGAGCTGCATGTCCAGGGAAGGACATGGCGCATCTGGGCTGCAGGACACGCATGAGCCCTTCTGCCCTAATCATCCATCACTGTAGAAGACAGGACAGTAGGTGGGATGAACCTTCAGTGGGTCATCTTGACTGTTTTCCTATTTCTTCACTGTGGAGAAACTTCTATAAATCTAGTTTATCCTTTCTGAGCTGGAGATGAAGGACCTCACTTCTCAGGTAAGAAAAAACTACCAGTATGATCTGCTGCTCCTCTGTCATCCTACCCCAAATATATGAAATATGAGGTGTGATCATCTAGCTAGAAAAGGGAAAAGAGCATGGGGAGAGCAGGATATATACCTACTTTTTAAAGATAGCATCTTACCTACTGCTTTTTGTCTCAGAAAAAGAAGTGAGTCAAAATGGCTTCTGCTGAGCCTAATTTGTTATGTCTCCAGGCATAGCTAATTATCCTGACTTAGCCCAGCGCTGAATTCTTCCCAGGGGTTTTGGTGCTATTTCTTCTGTTTTGATTTATAAATTGTCTTTATTTTACTTCCCTCCTACATGTTCTGTAAAATCCTTTTGCTCCCTGCCTTACTGAGGAGCCAGGAGCTGGTGTGACAGTGCTATCACAAGGTGTAGGACAGAAAGGGGATCTGTTCACTAAAGCCTTTGTGTTGGGTGTCTAGCAATGATTTGTTGTGGTGTCTGCTTATGGGCTATGTGAAATGATCTCTTCTCCCCAGAACGCTTTTTTGTACTTCCACTTACTTCTGGGCTTACTTGGAACCATCCTTGTGCTAGAAGAGTTGTGAGGCCCAGGGCTGGCTCCATAGGTCAGAGGGCTTTGATTACAGCCTTCATCCCACAGCCAGGAGATTTTTGGCTTCTCTACTGACATATCAGAATGGATTACAAGTATTTTCTGGTTCAGCCATTCCCTTCACAGTTGACACAGTTTTTCTAACCTCAGTGACAAATTCTGTGAGGAAAGGAAATCCATCTGCTGTCATCATGGAGTGTCAATTGTAGTAAGTAGGAGCCAATACTGCCATTGAGCCTGGGCTTGGGAGACCATCTCTCTTCAGGATGCTTTAGAAACTGTGGTTAATAAGTCTCCCAAGCATCCCATGGGGCAAGTAGGTACTGTTTGCGTAGGAGACAATACTGCCAAGAGAAAGATCCTCAACCAAGGCCAACTTTAACTGCTAGAGCACGCCACCTCTTCAAAGCATTGCTTTGTTTCCTGATATACTCACTCTGTTTTCCTTTTTTTTTTTTTTTTTTTTTTTTTTTTTTTTTTTTTCTGGGAATGTTTTTGTCAACAGACTTCTCTGGGAGATTTAGCCCTGGTTACTCTTATGGCTCCTAGTGGAGGCTTAAATTTGGCTCTGCATAAAATGGGCTGAGAACTGGGTGAGATCCAAAGCCATGCCAGACCCAGATCCTGTCTTCTGCAGTGGCTGAGGGCAGATGCTGAGGGGAGAGGATAAAACCAGGAAAAGTAGGGAGTGATACTTCCTTGGAATTGTTCTTCAACCCCCAACAACTTGCAGCTCAGGGACTCCCTGAACCACAGTGATAGCGCCTGGTGGATTTTTCTTCTATTATTTTTCCTCTTGATTTTCTTATCGCAGTCATGTAAACTTTTAGCATCTAGTGTGTTCTGGGATGAGGAACCTCACTCCATAGCTGTGCATTTTGTGGAGTATCATGTTTTGCTCTTTTTCAACCTACTACCTGCTGTCTTTATTTAATCCCCATAGTTCTTGTGTCAGAAATAGTGTATACTCATATTCTATAGTGCTGATACATTTCTAGGCCCCTGTCAGTCACCTCTTCCACAGGACAATGGATCCTGGTTCATTGAACCTTTCCTCACATGGAAGATGTTCCACACTTTTGAGCATCCTTTTGGTACTTCTGTATGCCTTTTTCTGACTTGGCAGTAGCTTCTGTAAAGGGAAGGGAGAACTGCACTTAGTTTTCAAGACATAAGTGCAATATTATTTTATATACTGCTGTAATAGACTGTTCTTGCTTTCTTTCTGAATTTTTTTTAATGTGCTGGTTATATACTTCTTAGGGTCTAAAATCAATGGAAATGTTCCTTAATTTTTTTTGTCAGACTTGTCCAATTAATCCTCAGGACTTCAGAGTCCTGACTTAATGGGATTTCAGTGGTTCACAGGCTGGCTATAGTCACTAGTAAGCATCATCTGAATACACCTGGCGATAACAATACCACATGTGACATGGTGTACAAGGAGGTGCTGAGTAGATGAGCGATTTCCTTGCCACGCATTGCAGGTACACAGCTGTGGTCATGGCTGTGTTGCTGCCATGACAGGGAATTAGGGCATGGGATTGCAATGTGGGGCATGTCTGTAGTGGAGGTGCCATTGTAAAGCTACACCTTCATAGCCATGCATGGCTGGCTGGACCACATGATCTCTCAGATGGCTCTGTGGCTTGTGCACTCAGTTTTGGGCTCCAGACCTGGGGAATGGGGCACCTCCATCATGTCTTTTTCCACTGTTGCTCAGATGTGCTAGATATATTTCTCTGCCTGGACCGCTCTGTGATGGGTCACCCATGGGTTGTAACTTCCCTGCATGCATACTGGTCCTGGAGTTTTTCCTGCAGAGCAGGTGTTGGGATGAAGAGAAGATAAGATGAGAGTTGCTATGTGCTAGTAACAACCAGGTCCGAGCCTGTTGTTAGCAGTCTGCATAACCATGACTCCTCAGAAGGGCAACTGTGAAGCAAGGCAAAATTATCCTCCTTTTTCCTCTCTGGGAAAAGCAAGGAAGTATGGATGGGCTGCTCTGATGTGTACCAGTCTATCCAGTGAGTCCATCTCCGACCCAGCAAGGGCCCCCCCAAGCCCACTACATTAACACAGGATGCCTTCTTTCTCTACTTTCTCATCAGGAGCTTTGCCCAGTGCTTCCCATTTCATCCATGCTCAGCCAGGGTGGAGGCTGCTCTTCCTGCTCCTTCAGCCCCTAAGCAAGAGTGCCTGTACATCTGAGTTACAATGGGCAAGATGGACACCACCTCTGTCGAGCTGAGCTCTCCGTCCAAGGTGAAGCAGGCAGCCCTGGAGGAGTCAGATCCCAGTGCCTCCAAGGCCGTGAGCACCGAAAAGAAGGAGATCCCAGACAGAGGCTCCTGGAAGGGGAGATTTGACTTCTTGCTGTCCTGCGTGGGCTATGCTATTGGGCTAGGCAACGTCTGGCGCTTCCCGTATCTCTGCGGCAAGAATGGAGGAGGTGAGAGAAACGCACAGTGCTCGTGCTCATCCCTGAGGAGCCATGTTGTCTGAACAGGCTTTGGTTTGGTGGGGGTCTGGGCATGTGGCTGGTTCCCTGGCCGAGAGCTCTCCCTCATGATGTGAATTGTTACGCTGTCAGGAGACTAGTCTCTGGGCTTTACTAGCAAGTGCAGGTTGGGAAGAAGCAGCCCAACGAAACATAACAAGAAGTTTGAGTTTTGTTAAGCTTCTGCAGTCCAAATTTGCAGCAGAGTGTCTGGGATCATTTATTTACAAGGAGGGCTACGTACATAGGCCTCCAGCTGGATACTGGGGCATTCCCAGGGAAATCAATATCTGCTAATGTTAAGTTTCTCCTCAGTCTAGTGTATTCTCAAGAGGTACTGATTTTGTATCTGGATTTGGGTCATGTGTCTGAGGAGTTTTGATTAGAAGCTTTGCATGGACCATAGCAGGTCTGTGTAGACATATATACAAGCATACATACATATGTACATGTACACAGGCATGCATGAGTGTCATCATCTATGGAAGGAAATGAGCTTTGACTTTCTACAGTGCTGTGAGAAGGGTCACAGTTGTTGTCTCTGTCCTAATGTTTGGAAAACAGAGGCCATGAGAGAAGGTAGCAGCTGGCAAAGGATTTACAGTAACTGTGATGCAGCTGGTAGCAGTGTCCTCCTCTGTGGACAGCTAAAACCAGCTTTTCTTATTCTTTTTATTATTGCGCCACTACAGCCTTTCTTTACCAGTCCTCATGTGGGACTTTGCCAAACCATTGCAAGGCTAGAGAAAGGCAGGCAGATGGGGAAACAGTGCTGGGCTAGAAATCAAGAGATCTGGGAGATCAGCTCCCTGTCCAGCTATAGACTTTCTGCATGTCTTGGATCAAGTCAGAAAATACACTCATGTGCCTCAACTCCCTTCTAAAATGGTACCATTTCTTCAGCTTTGGCAGGGAGATGCTTCTGTGGAGGGGAGTAGGGGCTGCTCTGATGTCAATAGAGCAGAGGCTCTTTCTTCTCACCTCCCATGCCCGACTCTCCTGTTGTTTCTGCCTGTTACTAACATAACCTTCCCTCTCCCTTTGAAGAGCTGCTCACCTCCTTGAACCATTTATCACAACTTCCCACAAAAAGTTCATACCCCTTTGTCTCAGCCTTAAGGCTGTACATATAATTTTAGCATTGCCTGCTAGTCTTCCCATGTTGTTCTTTGCTTCCTTCTTAGCTCCCTTGTCCCCACTGTCTTGTTCATTGATGCTGCTCTGAGGGTCTCTTCTCATGCTTCTTTTCCACATGTTTCTTTGCCTTGACTTCCCTTTTCAAAACCCACTTTGTCTTAAGCTCTCATGATTTCTCATACTGCCAGCCCACTTCTGTGGTCCATGCTGTAGTCAATGCTGTGTAGGATGCTCTTCTCTGCCCATCCTGGAAAAGAGGAGAGGGGTCTAATTCCCTGCAGTGGTCTGTCCATGTAGCTCCACGACATTTAGGGGGATATTTCTCTCAAGCATGTGGACTGAGTCCCAGTGGGACACTGGACAGTTACCATTTTGACATGAAGATTTTGAATTCAGTATGTCATTTTGTGCAGAGGCATGAATGTGTGGCTGAGCCAGGTGAGGTTTATGTGAATCAGACAGGTCTACCTAGGGGAGCCTGTGCCACCATCGCCGGAGACGTGGTGTGAGTCTGCCATTTTCATCTAGCCACACAATGGCATCTGACTGCACTAGCCCTCCTCATACAACATTAGCCCCGTGGCTAAGCCCCAGCACTGTTTTTTAGCCCAGTTTCTGTCTGGTGATTGCTGCGCCACCTCAAATGCACCAGATCTGCGCTGCCCATGGCTCTGTCTCCTCACACATAAAGGTGGGGATGACAATATCTATAATTAGATGAGGGGTGTTTTGAAGCTAAAATCAATTATATTTATAAAATCAGCTGAGATCCTAGGATGGAGGGTGCTGTGGAGGTGGGGAGTGCTATCGTTAGCATTAGCAATGACATACAGGGTGATCTCTGCCCTGGCAGCAGCAGGCATGCAGAGGATCAGGCAGCTGTGAGCAGAAATGCTGGACAAGTGAAATGCGTGGATTGATACCTGCCTCCTCTCAGACACCCTGCCTTGCTTGCCAGTTCATGCTGTTTATGGCAGCCTGTATCACTCGTTCCTTTCACCCCTACCCAGCCTGCCTGTTCGCAGGCACGACTGTTCCTGCAGCTGGAAATAATGAGCAGCAAGTGGAGGCTGCTGATGCCGGAGACAGGCAGGAGAGCTGACGCACGAAAGCGTCACTGGGAGCCGATGCAGAGCAACGAGGAAGGGTCGCACGACATCTGATTCACAATTGGGTGGGCACCGTCTTGGCTGTACCTCGATGGAGGCGCCTGCGGAGCAGAGCAGACTGTGGGTGAGACTAATTTTAGCGTCCTGCATGTGCACTGCTCGGAGCACCGTCGTGTGGGCTGCTTCCATTACGCACAGGCAAATTGAACTGAATGGAAATATTGTCATCTCACTTACTGCTGTCACATTGTATCAGCTCACAGCTAATTTGTTCAGCATTGTAATTGGGCACATAATTAGGGGATATTCAGCCAGGGTACAGCAGCCCAGCACTAGACCCACCCTCTGCGGGGAGCAGGTTTTACCTAAAGAGATGCCTGGGCTCCCTGCTGGCTCTGCACACAGCTGAATGTGCCCAGCTATGACTAACACTTCAGCCTCTACACCAATTTCTAACCTCATGCAGTCTTTCTGATGTCAACAGGATTTTACCAGACTCTAAATCGACTCTAAATGCAGCTCAGTAGGTGCTAAAAATTGTCTGAGAGATCCTGAGCTTGAATAACTTGAGAGAAGAACATTTCTTTAAATAAGCAACATGCATTTCTCATTTACATGTTGAGACTCCAAGCAACGGTATGTAACAGCTTGTAATGCTCAACTTTTGATTTGTGGGCAGTGTTCGCTGTTTTAAGCATTAATTATTATTCCTTGCTGTACAGCATTAGGAGCTGCAGACTGCAGGCAAATTTGGGGCGGCACAGTGGGTGCCAGGAGCTGTGTGATCCTCCCCTGCCTCAAAGAGTGCCCTGAGCAGGCAGGGCAGGACAAATATCATCACCCCTTTGACCCATGGACTTTGGAGACAGGTTTAGACTCTCCGAAAGTCACACACAATCATTTGTAGCAGGCCAGGAACTGAACCAGACCTTTCAGCAGCCCATCCAGGGCCAGAGATTAAAGACCAGCCCTTTCTCTCTGTGCCAAGGATTTTGGCAAAGGCATACAAATTTTAGGTACAAATTTCAGAACTGATTTCCTCTCTGGCTGTACAGCACCTGGGGATGTTATCCATGCCTGCAGTGTCATTGTCAACTGACCTCAGTTCAAGGCTGCAGTCTGCTTTGTAGATTTTCCCTTATTTTAGAGGATTTTTGTCAAGCCAGGATAAATGACCTGTGTCCAAAAGTTTGTCTGTTTTTTTTTTCTCAATAATCTAATAAAATTTTTCACCTACAAACCCTCCTGGACTGCTGTAGATGAAAAATGCAGGATCATTTTTCATCAGGGTTCATCACAAGGATCATCAGGGCTGTGGACAAATTTCATTAGCTGCTTGCACAGACGCAAGTGAGGCACTGTGATTGCTGATAAACTCAAGTCTCCAAACTCTACAGTGAGGCACAACGGTAGTGAGGCAGCATCCATGTCCTTGGAGCTGACCCTGGCTTCCCGCAGGTCTCCTAGGGGGCTGGACCTTGCAGGCCGCGGCAGCTGGCGAAAGCGCAGGGAGGATGCCGAGCAGGCAGCCCTCCTCCCACAGCCATGCTCAAAGCTGTTTGCTCCTCCATGCCAGGCTCCTGGTGAAGCCGAGAGTCTGTGCTTCCACACCAGCTTGCAATTCAGGCTCATGGTCATCGAGCTCCTGGCCCAGAGCATGTTTTCTCCCTGCCACTGGCTGCCAACGCTTCTTGCACGCTGCCTCCCGTGGACTCCCATGTTGGGTGCTGGCGCCTGCCTCTCCCAGCTGGGCTCAGCTCCCTGCTTGTCAGGCAGGTGTCCCCAGCTGGGTGTCCCCCAAGCCAGCATCCCTGGCTGTGCCTCGCTTCTTCCCTGCCCTCACAGAGCAGCTGTTCTGCCAGGTGCAAGCTGGACTCCAACTCTTCAAGAGTGGCTTTGCTCACTGGCTCCATGTCTTCTTTCCCACTAATATCAGGAAAAGAAGACTCAGACTGACAACTCAGCTGTCTAGATAGTGCAGAAACCAGTGCTGTCCTGAACCTGGCCAGATGCTTCTGAGCAAACTGAGTGTCCCCTCTCCCTCCCCACCCAGCATCTTCTGCAAGAGTTTGTTCTCCTCAGGAATGCTGGCATGCTTCAGCACATGCATGAGGAAGCTGGAGAATGAGCTTTGTCCTAGATCCTAGAAGTCAGGATGACCTGAACATGTACAGCCTTCAAATCACATGGTGAGGCTCTCCTATGCTATTTGCTTTTCTAATAACGAGGTACAAATAATATCTCTAGTGAATGACTGCACTACCTTATTTCTAGTGATGAAATTATTTCCATAGGATCCACAGAGAAATGTTTTCACCAGGAATTTTAATGGTAAAACCTAGAACAAGGGTGTGGAGGTGTATAGGACTGTTACAAGAGCAAATACAGTTTTAGCCAGTTTCCTTAAAAGACAGAAGCGGCTACAAACAAAGAAAGTAGTGACCAGTGCAGGATATTGCTGTACCCTTTTCCCTCAAGGTGAAGAATTGGGAGCTGCTGCAGGTAAGTCAGAAAACATCAACAAGAACAAGTTACTAGTGTCAGTGTCCAAGCTTTTGGGTTTATTGTCAGATTTGCCTTAGCATTGCCTAAATCTAACAATGTGCATTTATGATACCTATATATCCATAGTGATAGGAACTGATGAGGGGAAGGCAGTGGTGATCAGAATGGGAGACTCACTGAATATACCAACTCCAGTTGCAAACTGTTGCCCCTAGCAAGTCATCACATGGGTGCTGCAGAGCAAGAAACCACAGCTGGAGGCATTTACTTCTTAGTAAAAGGGAGAACCATCTGCTAACATTGCTTCTTTCAGGGGCTTTCCTCATTCCCTATTTCCTGACACTGGTGTTTGCTGGGATTCCTCTCTTCCTGCTGGAAACTGCCCTGGGACAGTACACCTCTGTTGGCGGACTGGGAGTCTGGAAATTAGCACCTATGTTTAAAGGTACTGTACTGTAAGTTTGTGATGGCAATGGCACATAACTACAGACAAATACTCTTGAATGGTTTGGGAAGAAAATCAGCAGATCCCTGGGGACTGGGATGGGGTGGCAGGTGAGGGACATTTTTTTCTTCTGTCTTTATCAATCTGCCCTTTACCTTGATGTCTACAGTCACTAACATCACTGTGTTCTGTTCAAGCAGTCTTGTGTGATGATAAAGTACTTTATGAGCAGCAGGGACATAGAGGGCCTCTGCTTGCAAAAGACTTGTTCTGGGCCTTGCGACATGGGCTCACTTTAGTTCTGTGGGAAAGCTGTAGATAGGAGATGTGAACATGTTGCCATGTCTGGAGTAACAGCATTCTGGAAACCAGTGGTGATTTATAAATGCCTTGTGTGTAGGAAAGAGTGATTCTGCCAGGGAAGTGACCAGTTCCTATTTTCATGGAGCCCTGTCCTAAACTACCTGTAGCATACTAAAAGGTAGCACTGTCCACCAAGTGAAAATGGATGGGTGAGAGATGTGAGGTAACAAGCCTTCTTTGCTCACCAGTTTGGCATAATTGTATCAGGCACTGCACTGATGAGCTGGTTCACTTTTCCTGGCTCTGCCACAAAACTTGTGGTGATGTCTGTGATTACGGTTGGGCACCAGAGACCTGGATTGATGCTGCTCTCTGCCTTCATTCGTAGGAGTGGGGCTGGCAGCTGTAGTTCTCTCCTTCTGGCTGAACATCTACTACATTGTCATCATTGCCTGGGCTCTCTACTATCTCTTCAACTCTTTCACCGCAGTGAGTCACAGACTTGTCTACAGCATGGCATTGTCTGCACTGAGTCTTTACTCTCTGTTTTATGGGGAGGAGTTGTTTATGCCACAAAACATGAACTAACTGCTTGTAGTCTGTGCAAAGAGTCTTTGTCATCACTCTGATGGATCCTTTCCAAAGAGGTTCCTCAGCCCTGGAGGCAGTTGTGTAGTGCTGATGGGTACTGATGCTGTCCTCTGGAGAGGGTGGTCCTCTGGAGGGGATGGTCCCATTCCCCCCTCTGGAAAGTGTTGCCAATTACATCAGTCTTTAAAGCCCACCCTGTGTCTCTGTCATATTTCTAGAGCTGTGTGAATCTAAGAGCTGCACAATTCTACAACTGATTTTGTCACAACATATTCTTATTATCCAGGACTTAATCCTCCTTTATGGAGGACTTAGTTAGTCCTCATTTATGCTTCTCTTGATAAATAAAATCCCAAGGGTGTTTGTTGTTTTTTTTTTTTTGTTTTTTTTTTTTGTGTGTTTGTTTGTTTGTTTTGTTTTGTTTTCTCCGGGAAAATGATTCAGAAAGCATTTAGACATCTGCTTATTACTTTCCCTTATCATGTACCTTGGGGTTGTGGTTTATAGTGGGTTCCTCTTCTGTAGCAGGGTCTTCCACCATACAAGGTCTGAATCACTCCCCACATTAAGTTCTTGGTAGCTGAACAATTTGTTTCAGACCAACAGCTGGGAAGAGGTCCCTTAACTCTCTGAGCAACCTGCAACCTTAAAGGCATCTACTCCGTGATTCACATGGGATCTTTTCTCATTTAGGTATAACCCTGAAATACTGTTATGAATGTTGTACCTCCAGTTTTACATTTTGATCAAAAATTTAAAGTATCTGTCAAGACTTTTGCTAAAATATTCTGTTTGGCATTCCTAGCTGTGTTTCTACTGCCAATACCCACTGCAGGCTTGTCGGTCCAGAACAAAATTGTCAATTGTGGATGATTAGGTGCACTATTGGGGGATTCCCAGATTAACAGAAATCAACCCCAGAAGAACCCATCCCTGTTCTACCCTGGGCAGGATGCATGTTAGGATGAGGCTTTGGTACAGGCAGGTGTCACAGACCTGACTGGTGACAGTACTTGTATCTACACAGGTATTCAGTTCAAGGCCTTTTCTTTTACCAGAGATAATTCCATATTCTCCAAAGGAGCCAAGGTACAAATTAAAAAGCTAGGCTGATGCCTGACCCTGTTCCTCCTAAATTTGACCAGGAGTATTTTGGACCTGAACAGGAACCTAGCTTGCATTCTGCAGTTTCTGTCCTCTGAAATTCAGAGGAAATGGAGCAGCAATAAACTGTCCCCCTGCCTGCCTCTCCTTATAAGAGCTACACAGCATATCTGATGTGCAAAGAACTTGGTTGAAGGGCTGCTGTGCATCACTGCTTGAGTCATTGCATTTGCTTCAGTGCAATTAGCAAGTCCACAATGATATCACTGGGTGGATGCGAAGAGCCTGGGTGGCCACTGGGGTGTCCCCACCTGCCCCTCCCATCATCCTTCTTCTGCCAAGCCAACCTATACGTTAGGAGGTATCATCTGCTGAAGTGAACTCATTTAGATGGGGGGTGAAGGCAGCACTTAAAGGCACTGAGGTCACAAAGCACTTAAAACACGGATAATATTTCTAAAGGGGTCTGTGTTCATGGATGAATAGGAACAGATACAAAAATCTTCCTAAAGCTTTGTTGATCTGGAGCCTGAGGTCTTATCTGCAGAGGGAAATCATCCAGAATAGCCATTCTGCATTTATCTACATGTACTGCACTCAGAAACTGATATTGCTTCACATGGAGACATATCTGAGCTGCTCTTGTTGGACTGCCTTGGCTGTGGCACTACATGGCATGGGTGAGTTGCCCTGTGTGCTCGCACAGCCCCTGACACTGAGGTTTCATTGCTTGCGGTGTCAGAGCTGATTACATTAAATCTGTAGTTGTGTTCTGCCATCACACTGATACCTACAGTATAAATGTCTCACAGGAATCCCTTTGTGCTGCTTGCAATCAGGGCGGGGAACAGCATGAAATAGCTACTACGCTTTATATTTACTCCTGGGCTTATATTACATTAGTTTATTCACGTAGACAAACGGTTAACCCCCATTCTCAATGCCACATTGCATTTTAAGCATTGAAGCTTGGTATAAATGAGAGATAAGAAACAAATCAGTGTTTATTCTTTGTGCATTAAATTCCAACCACTTGTTGAGTGAAGCTAGCCAAAAGCTGTAATGATTATATACACAATGTTCCCCAATAGCTATTTTAATTAGTAGCTATTAATTACCAACAGTTAATTGGAAATTACTTTCTATCTGGGGAATTGCTAACATTTTATGAGAGCTACAGCATTGCCCTAATCACATCATGATATTGTTTCCTGGAAAGTCCATGTCACATGTATCAGTGTCTTGAAAAATCATTTAATGCTTTTGGCTGCAAAGTTCCTGCCTGTCCAGAGGAACTTCCCATCCTCTTTGCAAAAAAAAAAAAAAAAAAAAAAAATTTAAAAGAAAACAAATTTCACTTCTCGCCAGTGGGAGATGTCACATTAATGATAACCTTGCTGTCCTTGTGCTGGCGCAGGACCTGCCATGGCAGAGCTGTGGGAATGCCTGGAACACCAACCGCTGCTTCTCCAACTTCTCCCTGACCGACACCACCAACCTCACCAGTGCCGTCACCGAGTTCTGGGAGTACGTCCACAGCCTGCCTACACCAGGTTTCTCCCCCTCACCACGGCCATCATGCCTGCTCACTGGGGCTGCAGCTGTGCCCGCTGGCACCTTTTCTTGGACAGCCTTGGCAGGAGGGCATCAGAACCAGCCATTGGCTGAGGTGGGCATGGGAATGGGGTGTGCTGTGCAGCCACAGGCCAGATGGATGGAGAGGATAACAGCCTCCTTGCCTCTCTTCTCCCTTTATGCCGCCATGATGAACCTCATCTGTGCCTGGCCCTTCACCCTCCAGATGTCTCCGGAATCTCCACGCCCTCTGTCCCCAAGGGCCAAACTTGCCTTTAATGCAACCTCTTCCACCTCTAGGAGGAACATGCACCAGATGTCCGAGGGCCTGGGGGAGCCCGGCACCATCCGCTGGCCCCTGGCTGGCACACTGGCCCTGGCCTGGCTCCTGGTCTACTTCTCCATCTGGAAGGGTGTGGAGTGGACGGGCAAGGTACAGTGCGAGGACCAGGTGTTTCGGTGCTGCCTCTCATTGCTGTGCTCAGGTCTTGGCTATCAGAATGTCCTCTGAATTCAATTTTGATTGTCTATAACTAAGGTTTCGAGGCAGAATTGTGGTAGATGCTATTACATTCCTGACATTTACCTTTCATGGTTGTAAAAACTGCTACCCTGTTTATGGTAATTTTCATTCTAAGCATAGAGAATAGCTCTTCCCTGTAAAGTCACAGGTCTGAGTACTCAGTCTTTTTGGGAAGAGACTTGGAAAGAGATTTTTAGAGATTACTTACATTTCCCACCTTGGGACAGGCCTTTGAGAGAGTGAGGCCTCTTCTGGGCTCCTCCTTTTGAAAATCATTGTCTCTTAAAATGCTGCCAGTGGGAAAAAAAACTCACCACCTCCTTTGAAAATTTTTCTGCTGCCCTTTAGGTATTGGTGGGAGACCCTCAGATCAGAAGCATACTGTTATTCACTGTGTAGCATTTCAGGCTAGTACCGTGGAAAGGTAATTGCTTAGTTTAGTGAAACAGCAAAGCTGAGATACTGAGATGTGTTATTTAGAGCACAGCGTGGTGTAGCGGGACAGTATTGTGAAAGGAATAATCTAGAGGAGAGATCAGAAAGAAGTGCTTCAGGCATAGGTCACCTAAGCTGTTAACTTCCTTGGTGGCTCTCAAACAGGTTTTATCTACGTAGTCACAGCAAAGCCCAGCTGATTGCCACGTATGGTCCCTGTGATGAGGGATGGCACATACCCATGAGTCCCTGATACAGTACGGAAAAGACAGGAGTGGAGTCAAGATGACATGTTGCTTGATGCATTAGACTAGAGGAACACCAGCTTTAGCTCTGTAAAATAAGGATGTGATGACTTAAAGGGATTACTTCTGTGGATTAAATTCATCCCTGTGCAATTCCCCTGTCTTTGGGCAATTCATCTGGACTTTAACGTGCTACTTTTGTGATTAGCGTGTCCTTGTGCGTCACTGGAGGGACAAACCTCAAACAGTCAGAAACATTACTAGCACAGGAACAGGAAAGAGAAAACACAAGGAAATGTTGCCAAAAGCAGCTCTGCATGGGAGGACACACACGACAGGAAAGCTCCTGGGCACTGGTAGGCTGATGGCTTCTCTCCCATGATGTCTTTCGCAGGTGGTGTATTTCTCAGCCACCTACCCCTACTTCATGCTTTTCATCCTCTTCTTCCGGGGAGTCACGCTGCCGGGAGCCAAGGAGGGGATCCTCTTCTACCTCACGCCCGACTTCAGGAAGCTCTCCAACTCTGAGGTTTGTAGCCTAGTGAGGAAATCTCTCACCTCCCAGCTGTCTTCGCGTTAGTCGTGCCCAGGCACTTCCATCGAATATTTTACATATTAAAAAAACCTGGAAAAGTTCCCTGTTCAAGCAGTCGCAACCTTCACTGGCTTAGACAAAGCTAAAGGGCAGGCCCTTCGTGGGTCAAAATCTGTGCAGCAGCTCTGTTGTACTCAAGCAGTGTTATCCATAGGGCAAGGTGGGGGTGTCAGAAATTACCCCAACGAAAAAACCTCCCCTCTGGGCTAGGAATGCCTCCGTTCACTGGCTCTCTCAGGGCTGGTGATTTGGTCTTGATCTGGTGGTCCCAGAGAAGAGGACAAGGTGGTGGCACTGGTACGGGCACATCAGAAGCAGCACAAGTACAACAGTACACCCAGCATCAATTTCTGGAAGTGCTTAAATAGTGAGTAGTGGCTGGTAATGTTGCCTTGATCAGTGGAAGCACAGAGAGGGGCCAGGAGGAGCACAGAGGCTTGCAAAAGCTAAGTTTTTCAGGTGACACAAACTCTGCCTTTTGCAGCAGCAATGCTCCCATGGCTCCAGTCACCCCTGCACATGTGAACAGGGACAACTGGACACCCATCGTTTCCCAAGTGGTCCCAATGATCCCTCTCACAGGACACTCACTGTAGCTCTACTGCCAGCTGCATTGGCTCTAATGCTGGAAACAAGACTGTCAAGAACAGAAGAGTTGTTTAAATACTATGCTATTAAGAAAGGAACTGTCTGCCCCCTTTTCTTGTGCCTTCTAGTATTTAAGATCTTAAGGCACTGGCAACCAGCTTTGCAAGCTGTCCTCTGCAGTTGTTTGCACAAGAAACTCCATGTTGAAAAAAATCAAAGACACACTAGTGGAAGAGGAACAGAGGGGGATGAGTGTGGGACGTGGGTCTCTGAGGGGAGCAGCACCCCTCAGGGGGCAGCTGTGAGAAAGCAAGTGCACATACACACAAATTCAGACTATATGCAAGTCCTTTCTGACCTGCACTGGAGGCTGAGGAACACGTTCCAGAAAATGAGAGGCATGACTCTTCCCCCATCCCCATCTATCACTGGAAGCAGCCTCAAGCCACAGGTTTTGGAGGGCTGAGGATGTGCTTGTGGTGCTGGGCCAGGCTGCATTTTTGATGCACTTGCCATGTGGGAAGGATGCAAACCCCCTTCTCCTCTTCCTCCTTCTCGCGGAAGCACTGCTCTCTAGCAGGCTTCCTCCTGACACTGCAAACATTCAAAGCCTGTGCCCCATCCCTGACCCGGTGCCCTGTGTTAAAGACCCCTGGCATCCCTGTTCCCCTAGGGGTAGTGCAGAGGCCCTGATGACCCCCCATAGCTGCAGAAGCCAGCATGCTCCGGTCATACCGCAGGTAAAACAGAGCTGCACCAGCCTTCTCCATTACTCTTCTCTCTGCCTGCACCACCATCTCTGAGACCAACTCACTCCAGATAGGTGTTCAGAAAGGGATGGAAAAAAGTCTCTTCAAACATGTTCAGCCTGTTTGGCAGCAACACAGCTGCAGGTTTTATGGTGGCTCCTGTGACATTTCCAGCCACTGACCCAAATATTTTCTTGGAGCTTGGGGCAGCAGACGGGGTTGCAGGTGCTCATGGCCTTAGTGGCAGGGTGCCCTCAGGTTCTGACCACCCCAGTGGACCGTACGGCCATGTCCACAGCCCCCTGGTCTGCATACAGCCCCCTCGCTAGCCCTGCGTTGAGCTGCTGCAGGAGGGTCGCCTGCAGCATGGAGACCCTCCCGCTGAACTCCTCTCCCGGCCCTTCTCCACAGGTCTGGATGGATGCAGCCACACAGATCTTCTTCTCTTATGGCCTGGGGCTGGGGTCTCTGATTGCTCTGGGAAGCTACAACACTTTCCACAACAATGTCTACAGGTCTGTTGGGTTTTTTCCAGCCTACTGTGTGGTGGGGAGTGCTTATGGGCGAGGGAGGGAGATCACAGTAAGTCTGGGGTGACTGATCTCCAACATCTCCTTCCTGGCAACTTGCAGCCGAAGGGACATGCTGCAGTCATCATAGTGGGGCTCCCCTGCCTGCAGGGCACTTAACTTGTCACCTGCACTACCTCTTCAAAGCACAGGAACAGCTCTTGGCAGGGTTTGGTCTTTTGTTTACCCCACACTTCACTCTTGACCTCCTGGTAGGTACCTGCAGGTGGTTTCTCTTCTTTCTTTCTGTCTTCCAGAGACTCTATTATTGTCTGCTGTATAAACTCCACCACAAGCATATTTGCTGGATTTGTTATTTTCTCTATTGTTGGCTTCATGTCACACATCACAAAGAAGTCAATCTCAGAGCTGGCCTCCTCAGGTAAGCAGAAACCCAGGTTCAAATGCAACATCAACCTCTGAGAGCAATTTGTCAATGGGCATGGGATGCTCCCAGGCCTTTCCTGAGTGAGGCCCAAGTGTTGCAACCCTCTTTGCATACCCTTCCACCAAGATGGGTCTCAGACACTTGTGGCTGATGTTCATCACACTATGGCTGCAAGGGACATCTCTGCCTGCTCTTAGTGTTCAACTTCTTTTACTGCTGAAGTTTTATGTGCTTTTGCTGCAATGAAATATTTGGGCCATTTGCTTTCTGAAACTTTCTTATGGAGAATAGATACTGTGTTTTCAGTAGACGTGATAAAAATTTGGAGTCCCTTTTCCAAGCGAAATTTTGAAATTGTAATGTCGGAATAATTTTTTAGCCAAGATAGGACCGTGTCTTTTTGCAGAAAGACATATTTGAAATTGCTGTCTTCACAGAGAAAGCTTTTATCTCAAGCAATAGCATTTTGTGATGGAAAAAAAAAGGACATCAGTAAAGTTATAACCAGCTCTGAATATCAGTTTATTTTTCTAGCAAAGTGCTCTATCTCCATTTGGTATCAGTAACTTGATGACTTTCTTGCCTGCAGGTTGAGAAAAGGCAAAGTGTTTGTCCAGTCATTCCTGCCTCCCAGTTCTACCCCTGTGCACCCCATCGCGTTGGTGTGTCATGGGCAAAGGCTCAGGTTTTTCTAGCTTCTGTATTAAATACCTGTAATTCTTGACCTGTGATCATTGTCTTTGTTCAGCTGTGGCCGTTAGCTTAGATTTCCCATCAAATGCTTTATAAGCATAGGCTCATCCCTCTTTTCATTACTGCAGGCCCTGGACTGGCTTTCCTTGCCTACCCCCAGGCTGTTGCACAGCTGCCCCTGTCCCCGCTCTGGTCGATCCTCTTCTTCTCTATGCTGATGATGCTGGGTCTGGATAGTCAGGTGAGACAACCCAGGGACAAAATGGGGTAAGATACGAAGATATCTTCAAATATTATAGTGGTGTCCCCTTCTGCACCTTGGGACGTGACTGAGCAGAGTCTTTTACTTTTCATGGTGAGATGCAGCTTCATGAAATGAAATCTGCTGTGTGGATATTGTCTCTGTGCTCTTCCCTAACATAGGCATATACTGCAAGTGTGGCGGTATCTGACCACTACCCAGTGCACCAGTCCTTGTCCTGCTGCCAACTAAAAACAAGAGTAACGACCAGCTTCCAGCAGCACAGCAGAATCAGTCGACCTTATAAGACAATCACTGCTTCCCTGTAGGAGAAGAGGTTCTTTGGAAAGCTTTTCTCTATTCAGATCAATTTTTGGCCCCAGTGAAGTGCTGGTACTTCTGTGTGGGCACAGCATGTCCCCATCTTGCTGGGTGACCCTGGCAGCTGAGCTCACAGGCTCTAAGCAGAGCTAGCGAGAAACTATCTCTGCCAAAATACTTTGGGACGAGGGAAAAAGGAAAAAGTTTTTTCTCAAGTAATAACTGCTTTATTCTTGTAAGACATGATTCCCTCACTCTCTCACCTAGGTATGTTAAATAATGGAAATTGGTATTAATTGCTTCATTTCATGCCTGCATGATAATAGTTTGTGGTCATCGCAGCTTTCTTGGTATTTTGTGAGAAGCTCAGTATGGATGTTTTGGATTTTCTTACTGTGTCACCTTGACCAAACTGCATTTCCTGTGAGGCAAGAAAATGTCTTAACTTTGGCTTACTTTCATAGGTTAAGGTAGAAAGTCTCTACCTTCTCTACTCCCAGAAGCTGGGAAGAGCATCTCTGTACAAGGTGCTAGTCTCCAGCCAGACCCCATACTCTGCTGCAGTACTGACAGCTAGTGCTGAGAAAAGCAGCAATGCAGTGTTTGAATTAGGGCTCTCCTGTGGTGTGAGAGTGGTGGTCTGATGCAGTATTTCAGCACTGGAGTTGGTAAAAAAAGTGACCCTGAGTGGAGGTGAAGCAACCTGGCTTGTTTCATAGCAGGGATAGATCCTGGCAGGAGGGAACTATGCCTTGGGAAAGCCTTGGGAAAGGCTGATGCCTGGGTACCCTGACTGCTTTGCCATCAGATAAGTCTTACAGGATATTTGAGGGGGAGGCAGCTGTGGCAAAAGGTCTCTACCCTGCCCCCCTCAGAGCTCTCACAAAACAAAACAAAAAAATCATGGTCTGTGTTTTTCCAAGTAATGATTTTTTTTTTTCTGATAATTCAGCATAAAAGTAGCTACGTAGTGAAGCAGTGCCTTGCTTTTTAGTGCATCAAAATCAAAGGCTCCTTCAAAAGCCTGTGCTTGCACCATGACATGTCCCCCTGTGCCCATGTGCTCTTTCCTTGCAGTGCAAACCACTGGTACAAAATGGATGCTCTCTTGGATTACAGGTAGCCTTCATAAATCCAAGTCTAGTTCATAATCAGATTCAGACCTATTGCTGAAATGTCACACCTGGTTTCCAGGAAAATGTAATCAACCAAATCTGGTTTTCAGTTATGACACACTCCCATGAACGCATCATAAAGCTCACGTCTGCATTACCATGGACATTATTCAGCAAACAATTTCCAATAACAACTAAATGTTTCAAAAGAAGCTACATCTACAGAAAAAAAAAATTACTCTCTATGGATTATTCACTCAGTGCTGGTAAATAGTTTGAGACATGACAATAAGCCCTCTAAGCACTGTGTGGAATTCATTTGCTGCATTAGCTTCTGAAACACTACTTGAAATTCTTCAAGTCCCTTCTGACAGCTAGGCTTGGAGGGCAGGCAGTCCGTGGGGGGGCTATCATTGCCTGGAGGAGGAAGAGGTGGGGGACAAAGCATCAAAAGGAAAACAAGCTTTTAAAAAGCACAGATAAATACATGTGAAGAGGCTTTCTGTCTGCATGCTGGAGCTCTGATTCAATCAAACACACCATTAACAGCATGGCAGCTTATGCATACAAAACAAATAGCACAGGCTGCAACAACAGCTGCAATTGCACATGCATTTTGAAGTGTCCAATTAAAAAAAAAAAAAAAGAAAAAGAGACGGGTTTGCGATGTGCTGATTAAATATGATTTGTAGTATTTGCATGTAGGGAGCAACCATTTTTCATTTGGGTCAGCAGCCCAGTCCACGAGGCACAGCAGGACCATAGGGCATTTCTTGCACCCTGCACCCCTAGGGCTGCTGGGCTGAGACTGCCCCTTGTCACCGGCTGGGCAGGGGTCTGCAGGCACAGCAGAGATGCTCGGAGGCCCAGCTAGCAAGGGAAGGGAGGGCTGAGATCTGCATTTGTGATGCAGCGACAAGCGCCAACCACTTAAGGATGGTGGGAGTAGATCCACTCGTATCCATTAGCTTCAAAAGCGAGTCTTCTGCAGATGCAGCACAGCTACATCTGCCTCTTTCTGCCAGGGTGCTCATCTCATCGGCAGTTACTTGAACGGGATGAATGACCTATATTGATAGACACGCGCCTCCCTCCTGTGCCCCCACTTGCCACTCATGTGCCTTAATGTTCATGCTGCCTCTGATCCATCTGGGCTTTAGCTCTCTTGTGTCTAGACCCTCTTGCATAATATGCTAATGCTTTCTTTTAACCTACCAGTTTCCAGGTCAGATGTTTTCTCCCCAGGGGAACTAGCAAGCCTTGTGACTGCAAGCCTGCATCTGTCCCATGTGAGGCCGTCTCTCACAGGTTATTCGTGAGGATTTCCAGCTGCCAGAAGCAGGACTTTCTTGTGGCTCTCTCCTGCACATCTGGCAGCAGTGGTAGAACCTCCCACGGGTCCATGGGTTCCAGTCAGTGTGCTCTGCCTGGCCAAGGAGGGAATAACAGGACCCTGACACTGGGAGAGGGTGGGAGAGGGACTTTCATTCAGACCAAGGTGCCACCTATATTGACTCTCCAAACGAGATTATCAGACCCAGCATCTTGTGTAATGATTAAGCCCCTGAAAGGAAAAAAGAGCGTAAGAGACAAGTGAATGGAAATAAAATATTCAGGAGAGAAATAGTATCATGGGACAAGGCATGAGAAAGAATATGTGCTAAAAATTGTGTTTGGTGATGGTGAGAAAAATGGAACTTTTTGGAAAGCAGACTGGAGTGTGTCCACCTGCACACACAAGTGCACACACAGGGAAAAGTCAAGAACAGATGTCACAATAACCAGATCCTTATCACTCCTGAAAGTAGCATGCTTTCACTCAGGTGCCTTCTTATCTTGTGCGACCATCTCAGGCTGGGTATGCAGGCTGGGAAGTATGGACCCCAGGCAACTAGGGAGCCAGTTCCCAGGGTGGGAAAGGGGAGCCTCCTCCAGGCTGCATCACCTCTGAAGCTTGAGGCTGGCATGAGGCAATTTTCAGTAACGGTATGAAGGCCACTGCCTGTTTTATGGCTAGAAAAAGCAGTGTACCGCCATTTGGTTCCCCACCTCATCCATTACATGGCAGATTAATTCTGATAGGAGGCAAAGAGATTTTAACTCACTTTGTAGCCCTGTTCCTTATCACCCATCTCTCTGTCTTTCCCTCTGTGTTTTCCCTGACTTTGATCCCTCTTCCTGCACCAAAGGGTGTCAGTTGCACACACACACACACACCCCATTATCTGAGGCATGTTTTTCTTTGCTGCTTCTCCACTGGACACCCCTCACATCCACCCTCTGCCCCCGACCACTCCAGCCCCACTCTGAACCCTTTTCCTTCTCTGCCTTGCCCAGTGCCAGAAGGCCTGGCCCTGCCCATGGCTCCAGCGGCACCTGGCCATGCATCCATGTGGAAGGAATAGCTTTTGACAGTTGTTTGGGATTTTTTTGTCACGCTAAATCTTCACACTGTAGTGCCAGCTCAGTTCTGACTTCCAACGAGCTGGGTGGGATGGGGTGAAGAGCTCACTATCAATGAGTATAAAGGCAGCTTAACCCATGCCCAAGTGGCAAAAAATGCTTTGATAGCACTTGTGTCCAACATAAAAGGCTTAGCTCATTAAAAATTTGAGTGGAAACAATTGAGCTTTGATGCTCTGGGAATACTGGCTTTTGGCACTGGATATAAAACCCTGGGCAGAAACATCACCTTGTGCCTCTCTCTGTGCCCAGGTGGAGGCCAACCCCAGCAGCCCATGGTGTGCAAGCTCCTCCATCATCCCTGCCCAGCTATAGACAAGGCTCAGACTCCCCACTTTTCTTCCATATGTCTTTCCAGCCCTCTGCTGCTCTTTTTAGTCTGTATACCCTTATCTCCACTTTCACTCCAGTTTTTGTTTTTGTTTTTTTTTTTTTCTTCTTGTTTCCCTATTCAAAGCTGACTTTAAAAATGCCAGCACTTTCTAGAGTACTCTCCCAGGGACAGGGAGATCCTTGACATCCAAGAGCAATGAAACCTCTTTCATTTTCATTGCATTGGCTTGTACATTTACTGAGGGTGACCAGGGAAGCTAGGAGCTTGCTGCCCTCATAAACTTCCCAGGATTTTTGCTAGAAGCATGATGTTCTCTCTGACAGCTGTATGTTACCAGTGGTTTCTGGGAGTGAGATATGAATGTGAATCTCAAAATTTATCCAGAACTAGGAGGGAATGATGCACTTCACATATATACAATCAAACTGTCCTCATGCCATAGGGCAGAACTAGTAGGAAAACTGATTTGAAAGTAACACTTATGGGGACTTCTTTATGTGTTATGGTGCAGACAGCATTAATATACTGTGTCTGGTATAGCATTGCACAAGCCAGCCAGGTGTTTTCCGTTCTAGAAAGACGATGTGCTGTGAGGATGGGCTTTTAATGTACTGCATGCATTTAATGTAACGTGCTTGAAAAAGTGAAATAAAGTGAAGGACTAGGTAGTCCGCGATATTGTTGTTATGCACATGGATGTGAGACTGGGCAGTGGGTAATGCAGTTCCTTAATGAGTGTTTTAGATCATTGAACAGCACAACGGCTGTTGCAGTAGTCTGAGAAGAGCACACACGGGAAAGGAAGAGCAAGCAAAGTTCTGCATGTGTCCCCACGGCAGACAGATGCACTGCTGTGACAGAGAGCCTGGCAGCATGGGGGGAGCAGGGCAGTAGTGAGAGTATGGGGTAAGAAAGAGGAGGCTTTCCCTGGGAGGCAAAAAGCAGAGTTTTATCTCAGCTAATTTTAAGTATTTAACCCCAGTGCTTTTAGCTCCCTCTATATTCATTGGGGGTAGAGAGGCATTTTCAGAAGATGGTTCAGACCAACTTTGTGCAGAGATGCCTTCTTCTTTCCTAGTGTCTGCAGAGATCAGTTAAAGTAATGAGGATCCCAACATTGGAGTTAAATGTTGGAGGTGATGATGTCAGGCTAAGATACTTATATATATGTCTTTGGTGTATACCTTTTCCTGTAGTTCTGCACCGTGGAAGGGTTCATTACAGCTCTGATAGATGAGTATCCTCATCTCCTGAGAGCCAGGAAGAAGGTCTTCATCGCTGTAGTCTGCCTCATCTCTTATCTCATTGGATTCTCCAACATCACCCAGGTACAGAGAGCCGTGCTTGTACCTCCATTTGTGATATCTTTCCAGTCACTCTGTCATAGCACAGCAGCACCGAAAGCTTTGGGAGAAGTAACAGCATCCCTAGGAGCCATCCTAGTGCTGGATAAATGCTCACTTGTCACTGCCACATCTCAAGTGACTTAGGACTCCTTCATAATTTTTACCACCATCCTGTTGTCAGTCTGGCTTGTTATTTTGCTATTTGCAGTAAGGGCTGAAGGCAACAGAGCCCAAGGTAAGGGAATGTTTAGTGCAAGGGGTTAATATAACATAAAGAAGACCAGTCTGTCAGGGCCCTAAACCTCTGGGGCTGATGTCAAGGTTCATATGTGTTGAGGTCAGGGCTGAATGCTCTGGACACCATTTGTGGAGCGTTGTAGGTTCATGAGGAGGCAAGGCAGCAAAACTTCTGGGAGGGGCAGAGCAGACTAAATGAAGTAAGTCCATCTAAAACAGAGAAACGTAAGAAATCCTAGTGGATCCCTGCTTTTCTCCTCACCCTTGGCCATGCCTCGACCAGCCATGAACAGGCTGGTTAATTATCTGCAAAAGCACATCAGTTTTGCTGCTGGGAACCAGACTCCAGTGGAAACATTGCAAAGCCGGCTCTACTGTCCAAGGAAATTAACATTAAAGCCATCAGATGCAGATAGTAGCAATCCAAGCAGCCGGCTGGTATTGTCGACCATAATCTATAACTAAAATCCTTCAACCTGGTTTTGTCTCCTCAGGGTGGCATTTATGTCTTCAAGCTGTTTGATTACTACTCAGCCAGTGGCATGTGTCTTCTCTTTCTTATCTTCTTTGAGACCATCTCAATTTCTTGGTGTTACGGTAAGCACAAAAGACCTTGTTACTTCATTTTCTCCATAGGCACAGTGAGTTATTTCAGAGGCCTCCCACAGTGAAGCCAGTGAAAACTTTGCAACTGAAAACATCTTAGGCTGATAACTTCAGAAAATCAGGAGCAGGAGGCTGTCATCTCTCTTCTCCACGACACCACAAAAACACCTGCACATCCTGGCAGATGCTTATGGATCTGTCCTCTGGTCCTTCAAGAGGACACCAGAAGCATGGAAGCTGCTAGCACGAAACTGATTTTGTGTCCCTGTACTGTGTCCCTTCCCGTTAATGATTCTCATAGTACAGCATAATCACCCTCTTGCTGTGGCTCACCTGTGCTGTGAAATGGGAAGAGGTGATGTCCATGGTGCTGAGATGGGACATTTTTTTTCCACACTCTTCTCGTAGGTGTGAACAGATTTTACAACAATATTGAGGAAATGATTGGCTACAAACCATGCATCTGGTGGAAGATCTGCTGGGCCTTCTTCACTCCTCTTGTCTGCCTGGTAAGAACAGAGACATCTTATCTACAGGAGTGGATCCAGAAGGAACCTTTTAGTTTGGATGGGCTGTAGGGGAAACACTGTGTTCTCAACACAGTATAGGTCTGGTACAAGGTGGTTTTAGGCAGACCTGAGATGGGTAAAGTAATATAGGAGCCTCTTTCACTCTGCCTGCTGAAAACCACCTTGTAGAGAAAAGCTCTAGATGATTGTTTTAATCTAAATGATGCCATCAGTTCTTCATTTTTCTTTCTGAGATACCAAAAGATAAGAATTTAATTTAGTGTTTTAAAAAGATATTCTTGATTCTGGTGAAGACTCTCAGCTACTCCAGATACAGCTTTAGCCCCTCATAGGGCTTGTCAGAGCAAAAGACATGAGCAAATATAGCATAGCCAACTGCAGAGCAATTTAACCTTTGCTGGTTCCTGCACTTCAAGCAGACGTACAGAGAATGGCATGAGAAGGCCAGTGATAGGAAGATGAAGACTCCTGAGACCAGCTGTGATGATGCTGTTAACTTAGGAGCTGGTGTGGTGTCATTGCTTGTCTGAGTAATCTAGTGAAGAAGGAAATCAGGGGTATTCCAGCTCCAACTTTTTACATAGGATAATCAGGGGACAAGTGATTTAAAATTATCATTTGGTGGGCTGAGAGCATGTAGACTAGTTTAAGGAGCTGTTATGTTGCTGTAAGACTCTTGGGAACTAAGAGGATAGTGAAGGAAAGAATGGATGGATGGGCCCTGGTTTTGCACACCTTCACCTGTGATGTGTGTTCTTCTGCACACTCAGGGTGTGTTCTTCTTCAGTGTGGTGGAAATGACCCCTCTGACCCTGGGAAAATACATCTATCCTGTGTGGGGGCAAGGCATTGGTTGGCTTATGGCTCTGTCCTCCATGGTACTGATTCCAGGATACATGCTGTACTGTCTCTTCACCTCAACGGGGACTTTCTGGCAGGTATGAACATCTTCACTCCTCTTCTGCTCTCTGCTTAGAGTAACACACACATCCACATCCCTTCCCCCCGAACTCAATCTAAGGAGAACCAAGCAGGCTCTGCTCTGACAAAGTTGTCACAGTCCTTCTGGTCAGTGCTGCAGGAGCTCTGCACACCCTCTCAACCAGGAGGGCTCAAATCAGTCCCAGCACACAGAACACTCTGGTAACATGGGCTCACTGGAGAGGACTTACTAGCAGAGCTGAGCACTAATGTGTCTAAATGACTGCGAGCACTGCTGGGCAGCACATGGCTGCCTGCATGTGGCCAGGAGGGGAGACCTTCAGGTAGTATCTCCTTAGGTCAGTCCCATTGTCCCTCATTGAGCTTCGTGTTGTCACCACCACAAAAAGGGTCTGGAGCCATGGAAGAGGTTAGGAAGAAATCTTGGAGGTTTCTTAACCCAGAGAAATCCCAATTCCCAGCAGTCCCTGGCTATGAGCATGGTTACCTGGCATGTCTCAGCAAAGAGACCAGGATCTTCCAAGCATGAAGCTTGAAATACCTCAGGGCTAGGACCTGATAGTAACAAACATGCCCAGCAGTAGTTTGCTGTGTGCTTTGTAAAGAGTACTCAGCAAATGAGGGGCTAAGAAACAATGCAGACTTTTATGTAAGTCCCACAGTACCCAAAACTCTGATCTCATAAAACATGTTTTTAAAAAATTTGCGCAGGGTTTTATGTAGCAGTGAATCATGAGTCTCTGTATGTCATACCTAGTAATTGCTGTTAAGATTTTATTTACAGTGTTGACATTCAGTCTTGAGGGCACTGTGCACAAAGTCCCTGGTTCGATGCTGTCTGCTGCGAGCTACAGGTGTTAAGAAGTCACTGCAGGGGTGCTCATTTATGGCTTTCCCAGCCCAAGCTGCAACAGCAACCAGATTCCATCTAAATCTCATGAGTTTCCTTCATGGATACTATATTTTGAATAATGTTTAATTCAGAAATGTTTTGGCTGGAATTGTTAGACTGAGGTCATCTTCAGGCTCTCTACCTCTGAGGTTAAGTTGCAAGTGGATTTGGTTTTCCTTCCTCCCATTCTCTTTTGGATGGGCTCTGGTGGGGGAACTGGGCAGGTTTAGTGTCTCAGATCTGCTTTCAGTTTCTGGTCTCTCATCTGAGGTTGAATTTAGGTTCTTGCCATTTTGTGTTGAAGATCAACAGCAATTCCCATAGTAGGTCCTTTCTCAGATGTTTTGAGAGCCTCCTTATACCCTCATAATATGAGCAGGAAAAGAGGGAAAAGGGAAGACTGCAAATACAGATATGGGCTCAAACCTTTGCTTAGGCTCAATCCTGTTTCCACTAGAGATGATGAAAGGATATCCTGGCATCTGGGGACATCTCATGAACATGTTTCCACCCATGCCCTCAGCACTTCGTGCAAACCAGCAGTGCCAGTCAGCAGCATGAGTGGCTGGTGTGCACCCACTCTGTCCTCTCTCCCTCTAACAGCACCCACACACAACAGGAGACCCAGACCTTGTTCATCCCCACTGTTCATAGACCCAGCAGCAGATGGCAGCAGGAAGAAAGTAGGTTTCTCGCTCTGTGTATGTGTGTGTGTGTGTGTGCGCGCGTTTATATCAGAGAGACAGAGAATTTTTGGCCTCTTATATGCACAAATCCTGGATTAGTTTGTAATAGAGCTGGAGCTGGAGGGAAATTAGATGCCAATGCTGCATAAAGAGGTTTTGACAGACAGGAAAGATTACAAGTAATTTTGATCCTACTGAGCATGAATGTGAGAGGGGAAAAAAAGACCATGAATGGTAGGAGGATCTCAGTGAACATTTCAGGGACTTCACCCAGCAACAGCCACTTCAGTGGTATTGGAGAGTAGGAGCTTGTTTCCCTTTGCTGGAAAGAGCTTTTTCCTGACTTAGTGATGTCTATTCAGGTCAGGCTCAATCCTCCTCTGCCTTCTGCAACTTAACAGCATCAGTCCCTCCCTGACAGGCAAAAGTGATTCATTCTTCTTCATCACTCCTGATGCTCAGTCCACACGCCTCCAGTAATGTCTTGCCCCTCCATATTTTCCTGGGTTCTTGCTTCACTTTACTTGGCTCTGCAATTTTCATTTGATCAGCTCAGGGTGACACGAATTGCTGCTGATGCAAAGGTTTGTGCAGGTGGACTGGTCTGATCTGCATCACTGGCACAGACAGTAGCCTTGTTAGCCTGCTGTAGCTAGTTAGTAATGCTTTATAATCAACCCTAGTTTAAAAGTTATGGAAACTGGGAAAATGGGTCTGCTCTGAAGCCTGTGACAGTGCAGATCTCTCTTGTTCCTACTTGCAGCTGGTATTGCCTGGTAGCACTTCGCCTGTGTTATAAGTGTGATCCCAGTATTTCAGATGAAAGGAAGAGTGGCTGTGCTGTGTGCAGCACCAAAGCAAAGGTGACTTTCAGAGGCTTTCAGTGGACTGCTGAATTGTGCCGGAGGAGTAACTCCTGCCACAATGCACTGCTCCCTCACCCTGCAACTAGGTCCCAAACCTCAGCCACTGCCACACCCCAGCTGTCCCACCGTTGCCACTCCTGGCTCCCCAGCTGACACACTCTCTCCCTTCATTCCTGGGCAGCGTTTGCAGCAGATGACACAGCCCAAGACAGACGGGCAGGCTCAGAACAACGGCCTTCGACCAAAGATGTCCTTTAATGGGAGAGTCTCGGATGCCGCCGTCTAGGAGGAGAGCCTGGACCTCCTTGCCCTGCCCTGTAGCTGCTCATGCCACGTTGTCCCTTGAACTCCTCCAGCACAGCTTACTGTCCCTGGCTCTGTGGTGGCTTTCGCTTGTCAGAGAGAGGGACCCGGCAGAGGAACCCTCATGCATCTCTTCCTCCCAGCCCAGCTTATCAAGGCACTGCACGAGCTGCTGCCAGGGCATTGTGCAGTGAACATCCTCATCCTGCAACATTCTGGTCCAGGCTCTCAGGGAGGAGCTGCTGAGGCCCAGGTCTTCCTCCCCCTGATGAGAGGATGCTGATCCTTAGACTGATCACCCGTGGTACCTGTGCACACACAGTGTGACTCATTGCAAATTAGTTTCTCCCCTCCCCTGGAAACCTGACAGCTTCGCCAGGTCTGCTGGCCTGCCTTCCTGCTGGCTCACACTCCCAGGCTCAGCTCAGAGTCAATGAATTCATAAATGAGTGTCTGAGGAAAGGTATGTCCTGCTCATGCTGTGGGGCTGTGACATGATGCAGGTTGGCCCCATGCTGCCCATCCCTGGGACCAGCTGGCACATGGGTCCAACCTGCTCTTCTGCCGGTCTCCCACCCTGAGGATTGGTAGCATAAAGAGGAAAGAAGTCATATGGTGATTATAGATGAATTTGCTCACCTTTGGGGTAGGGTCCCCTGCCAGCTCACCAGTTCGTCTCGATTGACATTGCTTTAAATGTGTTTGTACATGATGTATGTGCTGTGTCCTGGCTCTTAGTGGTTGTTACTGCCAGGCCTTGAGTGCATGTTTTGCTGTCTCCAGCACCATGAGCTGAGATCACGCCCTGTCCTGCATCTAATCATTAGGGTGTTTACGTCAAAAAAATCACAGCTGTTAAATGGACGTGAGGAAATGTGGAATTTACAGGCTTGATCTTGTAAAGCCGAAAGCCAAACACTGAAAGCTGCAATCATAGTTCATCACAATTAATCTCAGCCGGTCACAGACATGTCATCTTTACTTGTCCTGTAATTGCAAGCACTAGTGTAGCTGAAATTTTCTATTTCACTTTCACCTATTTTTATAAAACATGGGATAAAGGAAACCACTCCTTATATATATGTCCTTTAAGAGGGACATCTGTGTTGAAAACAGGTATTAACCTCTGATCTTTGCAGTAATGACCTTTACTAGAAACCTGCTTTTGCCTCTGCATCCAGGTCACATAACCACTCTCCCCTTAAATTCAGACTAAGAGTTGCATAGGTGGGTGATGGGCAAAGGAGTCAATTCTTGAACGAAGCCTGAAAACCATTGAAGACCCCAATTTTTCCAACTTTATTGGGGCAGCTCAGGTCTGAGGTAGAACAAATCAGTGGTAATTTTTTAAACTCTTGGCTAAAGAGCTCTGTTGCAGAGAGAGCTGTTCAAAGGGCTTTACTGTCCAGGTTTGTCCTCCAGGGAAGTGGAGAAGGAAGGGTGCAGAAAACAAAGTCCCTTCCCTGGTGGCTCAGGAAATCCCTAAATCTCCAGTTACTTTTTTTTGCTGGGGTTTTACTCCCATCCTCACTCTGACTTGTTGGCCTTACGTGTGGCCCATGCAGAATATCACTCTAGGTGTAGTAGCAGGGGCTACCCCATGCATGGGCTGCTCATAATAACATTTGATGAGAGTTAACCATTTGCTTAGTTTTCTGCCTGTGAACTTCTCCTTTGCTTTCCCTTCTGCCCTGCTTCTTTTTGTTCATTTACCTCACTGCTTCCCCAGTATCATCCATCCAGTGTAAATTATCTACCTCAGCTTGCTTCTTCCTGCTTTTTTGCTTCCACTACTGTCAAATTACAGTTCTCCCTCTCTTCTCTTCTCCTTTTTATTCTTTCTCATTTATATCTCACTGTATTATTACCAGCCTCACTTCCAAGTTTCTCAAGGGCACTCTCCTTCCAGCCTTATTACTTATTCCTGCATGCCTGTGGCTCAGCCGCTCACTGTGCACGCTCTCAACCCTCTGCCTGACGGAAGCTGGAGCTCAGGACCCCACAGAGGAGCTCAGCTTTTTGCCATATCTGGTCCCTAAGAAGCAATTTCCATCCCAATATCAAAATTATAATGAAGTTCCAGCTGTCTTCTTGTCCTCTTTGCACCAGAAAGACCTGTGCCAAGCAATGATATCTCTTGATGTTACTAGAAGAGGTATTTCAACCCATATTCCACCAGTCTCTGCAGAACTGTGCCTGTTCTGTAAGATTTCGTTGCCTTTCCTCTTTTTGCACTGCTTTTTTCCCCACCAGGAATGTTTGAATTTGCAAAGTCTGGCATTTGTAGCCTTGCAGGGAGGAATCTGTCCTTAGTTAAACTCTGTCTGATACCCTTTTGCAGCATTTGAAACTCATCCCATCCTTAGTGCCAGAAGAGCCTTCCCACCTCCATCGCATGCAGGATTCCCATCTAGAGAGACAGCAGGGAAGGGGACAGCCCCTTGAGCTCATCCCATGCCTCAGAAATGCCACTGTGAGCAGGTCCAGTGAAGCAGCCATATCTGTGTGTTGGCTTTTTGACGTCAGGCTTCGAACACCATCTGAAAGGCACGTGCCATGCTTGGTGCCAGCAGTTCCTCTGTAAGAGACACTTTTGTGCCATTCCCTCGGTGCCTCATGCCTTTTGGTCCACCCAGCAGAGAGAATACATGTGTGGCCGGGGGTTGGGATGCTCCCCTCCCATTCTGCTGTTCAGAAGGGGATCCCCCTCCCCTGTGCTCACCTACAGCACTTCTGCCTTTTTTCCATCCTCTCACACCCTCCAAGCACCTGCCAGCCTCTTCCTCTTGCCACGGGCAGCACTCAAAATAATCCCCTGTGAAACCTCTTAATTCTAAGGAGCTATTTAGGGAGCTATGCTCAAATCCCTCCAAAATCCTCTTTTTCCTGAGGGCTATGAAAAATAAAGTAAATGCCATTGCCCCCAACCTCTGATGCAGCAGGGGGGGCTGAGGGGGCCAACAGGAAAGACAGGATTGCTTCACTGCTTCGCTGCTTCACTTCAAGTGCTGCTTCCCTGGAGATCCAGGAGAGGGGAGCTCTTCCTGCTGCCATTCTCCCAGATGTGTTCCAACAGCTGGCAGCCGGTTGTGAAACACTTGTGCAACATCTGCAACATGATACCGATGCTGTGTGGCACTGTAAGGCTTTGGCTAGCCAACTGCTGCGTAGCTTGTAGTCTCTCCACAACTCTATTAAACGATATGTTGGGTGCAGTTGTGCTGTGTGTCGCAGGATGCTCTTAAAACTGGCATCATTCTGAATGAGCAACCTGTCCTTGTCCCCCTCCTGTCCTGGGGGGATTCTCTCTGGACTGAGGGGCCCTGATTGCATTTGGTGGTGATGGTCCAGGCAGGTGTGGGACCTGCTCAGAGCTGTGTAGCGGCAGGGACATTACCACCCTGACCCTCAGGGTTCATTCACCCCATCAGGAGCAATCCTCAGGGCTGGTGTCTCTCCCTCCAGCACATCAGGTGGCCTATCCAGCGTAGGTCCTCACGTGTCCCCTCCCATGCCCTGGTGGCATTGAGAGGGCTGCCTGTGGGTTTGCATGGTATCCCCTTGGCTTCAGTGCTTGCCCTGGCACATCCCAAGGGGCTGGGACCCATGTGCAGCTGTTAGCAGCTGGTAAAGTGTTTTGGGCCCCAGGGCCATGCCATGGGGGACCCCCCAGCTGGTGGCCCTGGGACAGGCACCAGGGCGGGTAGCAGGGGACAGGAGTGGAATCCCAGTGTCCCCACCACAGTGCTGGCTGAGGCAGCACCAGCAAGGATAGTGCGGGGCTCCTGCCAAGCATGCGTCCATCATCCCCAGATGCTGTGGGCTAGAAGTGTGCGTGTCTGGAGACACTCAGGAGAGGTTAATGCTCCCCACGCTGATACCTGACATCCCTGACGCTGATGGAGATGCCTCCTGACAGCACAGCATGATGCTGCTGAGCTGCCAAGCAAACAGCACCAGCCTTCATTAGCTCCCCAGGGACCAGTCACAGCCCCTTGCAGGGTGGCACATGTCCCCACCATGGCCCCTGGGGAGCAGCAGCTTTCACCACAGCTGCAGTCCCATGCAGAGTGGCCCTGGAGGGCTTCACTCTGGTCATATTGGTGCACCAGAGGAGCTTTCTCCAGGGGATTTGGGGGCATCCATGTGTTTCTTCTTCCAGACAAGGAAACCCAACCCAGTGGGAAGGGACTTGCCCAGGACACTGATGTAATGATAGCAGAAGGGGACTGGCCTTAGAGGGCCCCATATCCACAGTATGGGGCAAGTAACCTGCCTGGGAGGCACTCCTGCCTGGACATGACATTTATGAGTTGGGGAGCCACTGGCAGATCAGTGCATGGCTTCCTGGCTGGAGGTTTTTCTCCCCTTGAAAGCTGTGTGGCTTGGAGAAGGCTCTTGGCTTGTTTGCATTGCATTGTGCTGTTTGGGAAAACACAAATACCCCCACAATGTTCCTGTAAAGAAAAGTGAGTTTTGTGCTGACGCTGCTGACCTGGCTCCAAACAAAACCTGCCCCATATTTGTCCAGATACACGGTTCTTCAATTTTAAACTCATCCCTTGCCATCAGCCTGAAGCGTGCTGCCTCCCATCTGCTCAATGGCTCCAAAGCTGGAGGTATTGGAGGTACATCAGCCCCTGGGATGATTCTGGGGATGAGGGGCAGGACACAGGAGCAGTGGTGCCTCGTGTCTCATCATGCAGGCAGTGCTGGCCCCTGTTCTGCTCCCTGCCCATCCCCAAAGAGCCCGTGTGCCCTTTGGCTGCAGCTCACACTCCTCTACGTAGCTGAGCCTGAGCAGCTGCCACATGCTCGTCTGTGCATTCCCCTCCAGTACACCAGAGAAGACTGACGTGCCTTTAAAAATAACTCCTTGGTGGGGACAAGGACAAGAGATAGAAAGGGGTGAGTGCTCTTGGTGAGAAGGGGACAACATCCCCCTCCACCTCTTTTGACAGTGCCACAACATCCCAGCCAAGCAGCCACTCCAGGTCACTGCCTGCCTAGCCCACGGAATGAACGCTTCCATGTGTTCTTTAGGTGTGTTTGGTTCGGCAGGAAGGAGAGAAAGAGCTGGCTTCTTTGTCCCCTCTCTGCACTTACTGAAAATGAGAATTATAATCCAAGGATTAGGAATTATAATCCAAGATTTTTATTTTAAAGGGCTTTTCAGCTCTGCGAGAGGAACTTCAGAGTGATGCTCCTAGGGGAGCTGGGTGTGATAGAGCAGCTGTCAGAGCGCCAGCTACTGCAATTTCTTGGGCAGCTGAAGCTCAGTGGTTCCCTCCAGACTCCAGCAGCGGCTACGTGGGGTGATGCTTTGGCAGGGAGGAGGTGGGGGTGGCAGGGTGCTCTGCAGGTCAGGGTGCAGGAGGTGTCCCATGGCTGGGCACCTGCCTTGGCACCACAGAGTGTGCCTGAGCACTGGGCAGGTGCTGCTATCAGGCTGCACCAATGGATTTTCATGGGTTCCTGGATGTTTTGAGCTTTGAAAAGAAAGATCAGTCTGTCTCTTTGGGGGTGGAGGGTGAGTCTGTATTAGCCATCACTGTTTAAATAGGAGCAATCTGGGTGAGTGGCACTCCCACGGTGAGAGGTATGCGGCAGCACAGTCCCTCAGCAGCATTTTAGCCACTGCCTGGTGGGGTGCCACATTCACCCAGCCCCACTGGGGCTGCCCCCATCCCCGGCAGCACCACAGACCCCAGAATGCTCCCCGAGCTGTGGGGAGAGGCAGGGTTCTGAGAGAGATTGCCAGCTGCCAGTCCCCTGCAACAGCATCTCCTCCTGGGAAGCCGAGCCCAAAATTGCACCAGCCCACAGTGTCCTGCAGCCCCTAGGAGGCTTCTGCCCTGCACTGCTGGCAGCATCTGCCCTGGTGAGACACTGTGATCTTACCTCTTCTGAACTTTTTCCCCTCGTTCCTTCCTCCTACTGTGTTTGTGGCAGACCTGTGCAAAATGTTAGCAAACTGCTGTTTTTTTCACTTGGCATATCTGCTGCCTTTCTCTCTGTTAATTATTATAGCAGTGCCTCTTCTAGGTCAAATCAACAGATGGCTGGGGTTTTATCTTTGAACAAGCTATTTAATAAGGGCTCCTGCCTTTTCACTTGCACACATTTCTTTCCTGGCTGCATGTCCTGAGCTACTGGATAGGTTGCCCTTTTCATTGTGGATACCAGAAGATGAGTTGAGGCTGAAGGCCAAGGTCAGATCCCAGAGGATGGGGTTTTTTCCTTTCCCTTTAAAAAGGGAAGATAATTCTGCCTGTGTTCACATGGCCCTTACCAAGCAACACTTTCCCTCCCTGCAAAAAGATGTGATGGAGAACTGTTCCCCACAAGGAAATGAGAAGGGCTGTGTCAAATGCTGGGTCCTATGGGGCAGGTCCTAAGTGTGCAGAAAACTGATATAAGTGCTGAAAGCAGCATGCTGCCCACTCACACCAGCTGAAAATTTGGCTTGCAGGTACTAACCTGTCTCTGGCTCATGCTGCCATCGGCTGCGTGGCTTTGTTGTGGCCCACTGGGTGCAAAGGAGGTAATTCCTTCTGTAGGCGGAGGGTCGCAGGCTGTGACTCAGAAGACAGGGAGAGCTAACGGTGTCCGGAGTGGGCTGGCTGGTAAGTGGGGCTGCCCTGGATGCGCCATGGAGCTGCATGTGACTTTTGCTGATGCTAACTGGTGACTGCTGCTCTGCCTGGGCCACCTTACTTGAAAGCCACATACCTGAAGTCTGCAACAAAATCTCAGCATGCCACAGTGATTGGGACCTTGTCCTTACTGAGGCAGAAGCAGCTCTCAAGTGCTGGGGAGCTGAGCAGGGTGGACAACTCCTGCAGCTGGCACACTGGCACAGGGCGGGCTTGCTGCATGCTCCTGTACTGGTGTACCCAACAGATGCACCAGGTTTTGTTTCAGAAAGCATGAGCTGTGTTTTCCCCCCACTGTTGCTGTCTCCCAGGCTCTGAAGGGGATGTACAGGGATCCAAATGCTTCTGCACCTGCTCCAGGAGCAAAGGGAAAGCTTCCCTTTGCATGAGAGCAAAGACCAGGGAAAAAGAGGAGGCTTTGGGCACCAGCCGCCTCATGGAATGGCCTCAGTGCAGACACCAGCACCAGGCCCCAGGCCCTGGTACCACCAGGCTCACTTCAGTGACTGCTTTTGCTGTTTTTACGAGGATTTCTCTGTACTTGGTTTTGCTAAAGAGTTTTCAGAGCCATGTGCCTTGAGACTTGATAACATTATCACCAAAGTGTTTCGTGGTGGCACCTGCCCCAGTGAGAGGGTCAGCACGGGTCTGGGCTCCCTGCATGGCAGGGCTGTGGCACTGCTCTCTGTTTTGTTTTCCCCTCCCTAGGAAGCTGAAGAGGCAGCTTTTCTTTCCTTTCTCTTGGATAGTTACAACAGTTTTAACAGCTTGCTCTTATTCCTGCCAGGGCTGCTTGTCCCAGTGGGGAAAAAGCCTTGCTTGGAGTGTCCCAGGAGGGCTGGTGTCCAGCTAGCTGCTGTCAGAGCCTGGCTGGCAGCTCCCTGCACTCTGGCCGGCCTGCCTGTCTGCGCCAGGCTTAGCTGTTTCGGGCCTAGCTAGAACCAGCAGAGATGCCTGCTCAGAATATGTGAATTTGGGTTTTCCTACACGGAACATGTAGTCCTCCTTTTTCTGTGCTGCCCAAATAGCTTGCTACAAGTTTTTTATGACATATAATGAATAGCTCATTTCAAAAAGGCAGTGAGTGGAGGAAGGTGGGAGGCAGGAGTGTGTGGAGGCAGCTGCGGCGGGGGCATACCAGCAGCAAGACGGTGGCTGTGGGGAGGAGTGAGCATCCCCGTACTGTTGGGCTGTGCATCATGCAGAGGAGCATGAGGGCACCCACAGATGCAGCCAGTGCAGAGCCCTGCAAAGCCGTTGCCTTTTCAGGGCACATCGCCCTGGACTGGCCCAGCTCTTTCCCAGCCAGCTGTGCAAACAGCATGGCGTGGCAATGGGTGGGCAGGAATTTAGTGCCCTGTGGGTGAACACCTGTCTGCAGTGGGGTTTGGGAGGAGGCTGCCCTGTTTGCTCCGATTTAGCACTAGGAAATTCATGAGAATGTCAAAGAGGGGCCACCAACTCAGGGAAATCCTGAGCATGAAGCTGGGGGGGGGGCACTTGCTCCTGTTGCTAGCACTCTGAGTCCTGTTTGATCAGCAAGTCTATGAGGCT